GAAAACTTCATAACTTTACATGCACTTTCTCAAGCGCACGTAAAATCCAATTTTCATGAACTGCAACAGTCATCGATCGAAAGCTGATCAGCCGATAGGCCCACGATCTGCTTTAACGTATCTAATCGTACAAGCATAGCAGATATCGGATAGATATTGATTCTCGATATCTCCGATCAAATTGGTATCGAGATAAGTACAAGAGACGGGGTCAAGACTGCATTGGTACTCAAGAGGTCAAGATAATGATTTTTATAAATATATATATATATATATATTTAATACTGAATAGTATGATTTTCTGGCTGACTTTGGATTTAATCTCTAAGCTAATACTTCCGGTTGCATGATTGCTACAGGAAATGGGAATCTGTATGTAACCACAATGCTTCTAGCCATTCGTGTTCATGTACCGTTTTATGATTGCGGTATAATCGTTCATAGGTCGATGCACGCGAATCTACTGGAATTAACGTAAATTCACCTGTGACTTTCATAGGGGTATATCGATTGATTAATCGAATTAATTGAACCGCGTTCGATTGGAAAATATTATTTTTAAGTATTTTCACAGTAAAAGCAAAACACATGGTGAAAAGTAAAAATTATTTTAATCTACAGAAATGTATTTCTCGTTATCGATAACAATTCTTTTAAATTGCATCGATCTGTCTTTGATTTATTGAAGGGGGGAAGCTAAGGGGCCGAGGGGGGTATACGTATCAATTCGAATTGGACTTTCACCCTCCCGTAGGGAATACGAAGTTTTACGTTTCGTCCCGTTATTTTTTCTGACTGATTTTCGTGAACTGTCATTGCCACCTGATACGGGGGATCGGGGGGGAGGTACGGTAATTTTAATTCTTTAATTTCCTTTACTATCATAAATTTCTTGAACGCTCAAGAAAATGGCTGCCGATGGATGAAGTATTAATCTTGGTGCTCGCTGTCCGTGAAATTGAAGCTCTTCTGCGTTACACGCCGTACGGACTTGGATCAATTGGAATTACGAATGGATGAGCATATTTTTCATGAAGAAAAATAATGAAAAAAATATTTATTTGTTTAATATTTTTTTTTATTGTTTTTTTCCACCGTTAAAATACCTTACGAGTCATTGCGATAATCCGTATATGTTAAAGGCTCGAAATATTCCTTGTAATGAATTCTGTAAGCGGATTTAAAAAGCTTTGTCGCTGTTAGGTTACGTTCGAAAGAAGCACGATAATAGAAAATGACGACCATTCGCTACCGGTATGGCTACTATGGATACTGGCCAGCCGGAAGGACCTGCTTTTTGGGTTTACCAAAATTAGGTCAACGGAACAAAAGACTCGTGGAATATGGGCAACACTGTAGCTGCTGGCTAATTCTCGAGATGTAGAAAATCCGCGAGGTAGAAAAGTTGTTATATAATTATGGGACTAAGCAGATTTTACGGGGGATTTAGCGCGGCGAGTGTATCTCTTTGGCAATTTTTTTTTCTCTCTACTTCGTTAACACCTTTTTCAAAATGCCAGTTAAACTTTCGTTTAACTGGTAGACCAAATTAGTTAACATTTTGCAGATATCGCATCCATGTGCATTTTTAACGTACGCGTCACACGTCACATGTGTTATGTGTCCTACGTATGTCAATACGTAAGATACTTAGGATCGATAGGATATTTAACAGGTACTGACAGTGCGAATATATTTGCACAAACATTAAATAATGACAGTTCTATCAATTTAATCACGAAGTCTTAATTTAATTTCAATTGGCGGAACGCATCGTCAAATTTAAAAGTGAAAACAGTAATTTCAAAACGTCTTGGTATTTTCTCACGTACATAGACACTCGACAGCATCCTCACGACACCCCTAGAAGGCACGACATACCTTAAAAGAATAAATTAATTTCTTCGATACTCCATTCCACCTCGATTAAAAAAAAAAAAATCCAATCAATTACCCACAACAAAGTAACGTCACTCGTTACAACAATTCAATTTTGTAAAAAGAAAGTTTTTTAAATGAAAATTATTTAAAGGTTCTGTTCAATAAATTCGCAATTTTTAAAAATTATCCCTCCCCGTTTAATATTGCTAACCAAAGAAAAAAAAAGAAAAAAAAAGAAAAAAATGCCTCGCAATAACGTTAAATAATTTTTGGCCTCCGCTCGTAAGTATCTCCGTCAGAGATCCTTTACTTTTCCTCCCAAAACGAGAGCGATCTTCCTCGACGCGGAGATCTCTCCTTTAAGGGATGAAAATAAAACTGTAGGTAAGCGACGCTGAGGTAATGGCGGTTTGCAAGGGCGTAATAGTTCCCAGAACGACCAAGCTTCTCGGATAGCAAGTTCAGGATGTATTCGTGTTGCCTCAGACAATCTCAATTCTCGGTCCTGAAGAAGCAACGTAACTCGAGAGATAGACAGAGAGTAAGGCAATTAAGACAAACGTCTGTTCCTGTTTACTATCTCGCCATTACCATGTTCTGGATTTGCTAGACGCCAGCGATGCTTCCTGAAGCGGCTGTACTCGTTAATATTAATGGCTTATGCTGTGTATATATATATACATAGGTATATGAAGTTTTGATATATATATATATATATTGACCTAGCGATATAATTTATTATTACTATGGGAAAATGGTACGTGTTACATAAATGAAACTTTCTGCGGTACGTTTAGCTAACTTTTAAATTTCATTGCTGCATTACCTTATTTTATCGAGGGGATAGCCAAAATTTTCATTTTAACATTGAAATTATAAAATTTTTCCAGGATTGTTCGCAGTTTCAAAAGTTCCGGTGAACTGAGGCTGCTTTTCGATGGGGATGATAAATTTAAACGTCTGCTTAGATTCTGCTATCAGGGTCTAATGGCTCAGTCGATTTTGAGATTTGAGGGTGTCAAGTCCATACTGTATATGAGATTTTGGGTAGTGGGGGTGAGAGGTCAAAAGGTGACGTTACTGGAAGGTGGAGATATTTAAGGGATGGCAAATATAACGTCAGCTATCGTGTGTCAAAGGTCAGGGATTCAAGTGAATATGCAGGTTTGTCAAGATAACAGGATTTACTAAGGGTGTGGACGGCGTGTGCGATTTTACACGCGAAGATACAGATGATAACGGAGGGTTCAAAGGTGGCTGTGTAATTATTATGAGTAATATATATATATATATATTACTGGATTAAATTGGATAGAACGTTCAGCCCGACTTGCATCTCGATTCAAGCATAGAGACACTCTCGTCGCAGAATGAACGATCAAATAGAAGACGATCCTTCAATTTCGTCGAGTATTTGCCTGACAGTTTCGCGAAAACGGCGTAAAAAATAAAAAATAATAAAATAATATAATTCCAGAAAGGAATAAAATATAATTTCGTATCTTTACATTTAACTAAGTAATTGCGATCCTGCAAATCGATTGCATGCGCCGAGCACGTCACGGCAAATTCACACGCATCGAATGACGACAGCGACGACCAATCGGCATCGCGGAATACCGCTGACAGAATTTCCAGATATTTTCTGTACACGGCACGGTTAACGATTAACGTGGATCTTATAGTAAAAATATATATATAGTAATAGCGAAGGTAGCAAAATCGATTTTCGTCTATTACGCGATGTGTCGCTCACTGGATATCAGCACTAAGGACTGAAACCGTAGAAGTGC